CCTAGAAATACTTTGAATCCTCATCAGACTTGGTTCAGATAAGAGGACTGGGGAAAGCAAGGCATGTCTGCTTTGTACCTTTACTTTTATTAAGGGTTCCAAATTATCCACAGGTTAAACTTTCTGTATTCTACCCCATGGCCAAAAGAAGAAAAAAAAAAAAAAAAGATAATGTCTGTAAATCACAACATCTTTAAAAAAAATTAACCTTGTTACAAAAATAAGCCCTTAAATGATAAATTACATTTTCTATTCAGGATGCTCATATACTTTATATGTTGACAGTCACTTAATTTTTAGTAGGTATCATCGGATAAGGACTCCAAATAAAATAGAATATCATTGTTAATGTACCTATTTGCCTATTTTCATGACAGTATTTCTTTACTTAATCTGAGGCCAGGAAATAAAGTTCTAAAATAGACAGGAAGTAGCCCGCACCAATAGAAATAAACTAAAAGCCTTTTATTGTTTTAGTTCAGCTTGAACTAAGTAAGATTGTACATAAAGATTTAGTCCTATTTCCTGTATTTAGCTTCTGATGAAATATTAGAGGGCAGAAAGATGGTCCCTTCCTTGCTGCTTTTCCTTTTTCCATTCACCCACCTAATGTATCTATTTAACATCTTTATCCATCTACCCAGCCTTCAACCCCTCTATGTATGTGTAAGCATGTATATATGTATCTAGCTCTGTCACTTAAATAATTTTAAAATGAAAGACCAAATCCTCTATGAACCCAAAGACATGCCTACTTATCCTTACTAGGTTCAAAGAAACACAAATCTGTCTCTGAAATAGAACCTTTCATTAATAGGTTATGAATGTCACATGTAACTGATGTTTTCTAGCCTGTAGTTTGTGACCATTTGAAATTAACAAGACCTTATCTCTTTGTATTAAGATTTACCTGAATACATTTATGAGTCCCTTGTGAGGCCCCAAGGCACAAGTGAATGTGTATGTACACGTTTGTGCAGAGAGCAAGATAACATGACATTTTATTTGGATTGGTATTGAGTTTTATAAGACATTGACATGTAAATATTTTATACATACTACAATAGAGCCAATATGTCATTTTTGTCACACACAAGTAGCAATTTCTAGCTCTACATTAGCAGTAAAACTTGAAGGTCTCAAAAACTAAAGAGCTATACATTAAAACCAAGAAAATTCTGTTGCTTGCAGTGTCTTGCTCAGTTTAGAGATCCTGTGTGGCCTGGCGATACAATTAGATCAAAACTTCTTAGCTTTCATGGATCTTTACAAGAAATGCATGTTTTATGTGAAAGAAATGGCCCCTGGTAACTATCAGTGTAATCGGATTGTGATGAAATCTGAGTGGATAAACTCTGTATTGCTTTCATCTCTAGTTAGTCTGCATCTAGCTACTTTCTGCCCTGACGTGGAGGGACGTTTTCATGCACTGATCATCAGGAAATGTTAGAGCGTTAGCAAGCAGGACAAGCATGACAAATGTCTGTCTTTCTGGGGAGATAACATTTTCATCAAAGCTATGTACACATCATATTTTCCCAAATATTTGTGGCACAGTTCATCAAATAGGGTATCTTCCCCCACTCCCCACCTCCCAGTTTGGCTGCTTCAAGATGCAATTACCACCAAGTCATACTACATAAAGAAACCATGAGCCAGTCAAGAAAGAGAAGCCTGCCCCCAGGCTTAATTCAAGCAAGCCATTCATCAAGCTGATGTGATGGACCTGTCCAATCCAGAACGTATCACAGACACATCAGCAACACCAAGTGGCATGCAATGACCGGATGACCAAAGGCCCCTCTGCCATGCTTCGATCGGTTCAAGCTCAGGAAACGCTCTCCTTTGAGAGTTCAGACAGTTGGCTTTGCATAAATCAAAGTGAGATTAGAAACAAAGATTTGGTGAGGTCAAGTGATTACCAAATGTTTCCTAAATGCCAAGAAAAGAGGTTCACCTATTCCCATTAAATTTGTCAATGAGACTAGAAAATTACCTAGTCCACTCAGGTCTTTTTCTTTTGGGGAAATCTCTGCCCACACCAGATGGTCTTCATTCTGGAGGTCAATATTCAAAGCCTCTCAGGTTGCTCCAAGATAATCAGCATGTGATCATTTAACCAAGATGATGGGCAGAGAGTTACAAGGTGCCCATTAAGGACCTTCTGGACAGTCCTGAGGTTACTGGAGTTCAGTATTTTTCAAAGGTCCCTGAATCTTTGATTTGATGAGGGCTTAATTTGTGCTGATAAAAGGTAAAATGCTACCAACTGGGAACATCAAACTTCTTTTGCTTTTAAGATGTCCGAAGAGTGAATCTGATGATTACAGGGAAAGTTTGTTGCCGTTTCTCTTTTGATCAACTGACAATCAGTGAGCATTACCAATGTTCTCAGTGCCTGCTGATTTTACTTCCTATTTTGAAGAAGTTTCTTTGTGTTAAGTTTTTGTTTGTTGTTCTGCCTGCCTCCTAGAGAAGAGGAACTAAGATTCTATCACTACTGATACTATACGGTGATGATATAAAAATCATTGGTTACACTATTGCTTTTTCTGAGATAAATTCTCGGTATCGGGCATTTTTAGATTGAAAGCTATTCTGATAATTTAATATTTTCCCCTAAATGTGTCTTTTATAAAAAGGTATTTCTTCTCAATACCCGCTTATTAAGAATAAAAGGAAGTAGCACCATTTAATAGCGACATTTAAAAAAATTAGTAATACAACTTTAAAGATTGTCTTCTATTAACTTATTACTAAATTTACTTCCACGAGTAATTCCACATGTGGCAAGTGTCTTGCTTATGATAAAGCTAAAAAGGGATAGTTATCAATTTCCACAGCAACCAAAAAGCCCTAATGTGCAAATTTCTCTAATGAACAAGAGGGAAATTAAATGGACAACAGTACAGTTAGTTGATTTCTTAGGCAAACTACAGCACTAAAATAGGGATTGCAGTCACCAATCCAAGAACAAGGGCAATCTAAGTGGGACACACTGCCAAGGAGAAATCTGAATAATATCAAAATAACAGATTTTACACATACGGTGCTCCAAAATGCAGAAATCTCAAAATTAATTTTTAGATGAATGCAAGTAGAGATGGCCAGATTCTCAGGTAATTCTAATAGTATTAAACACTGTTTATTTTTTTAAATTTCTCTATCAGTCTTAGTGAAGGAGGCAATTTAAATTATATCTTTGTAATTAACCTTTTTTTCCTCAACTTGGGGATAGATATATTTATACTGAAAAGCAAGATAAATATTCAAAGAAATCCATTTTTAAGATTTTTATAATTATACAGTAGGTTAAAGTTATTATGATTATAATTATACAAAGTGGGTGTTTGAGAATTTAGCATCTAGTGATATTTTCATAAAAAATAATTAAGGGTTGCAGCGGAACCACACATTACAATTGATAGTTCGTGACTCTTCAGTGAAGAATTTAATAACATTGAGCCTTTTTGTTTCTGGAATGATCTTGAGTAGTTCAAGACTGTCATCATTTCTATTAGCCTTACTGATCCTCTCTACTAATCCAGTGTCAAAGTGGGTTGAAGATAACAACTTACTTGAAACACGTTTTGCATCTTGGCAACTGAGTACTGGGTAAATGGATTATTTTATTTAGAACCTTGTCTTGACAATTGTCTGGATTTCTCTGAAGCCTCCCTACAGCCTTGGGAACTTGTTACGGCTGCTTATAAGAAAATAATACCTGCATAGAACCAGACAGCAAACCTCAACTCCGTCTTGCCAAAGAGCCATTTGTTATAAGTGTATGCATGGGGTTTTCAAAGTGCAGCTTTTAGAGTTCAGGGATGTATTCTGCTTTATTATATTGCAAGAATTCTGTAGCTACAATTAACTAACAACACATCTCGTGAGAAATGGAATGGAGCTGCAGAGAAAGCACACCACAGCCAACCGAGGTAGGAACTACATCACAACAGGCCGGGTAGGAGGACCAGAGGCTGCGGACACTTCCCATTCAGTAGTCAAATACATCGCCTGCTTACCTGTCTGACCCAGCATGCCCCAGCCACACATGCAAATTGTTATCATTGTTTTATTCATGAAACATATCTTTAAAAGAAAGGAGTCATTACCAAAATAAGCACCCTCAATGACATTTGTGCATGCAGAGCATCTGGACATTCACATTTTCGTCCTCGGAAAACAGAGCCAAGAAGTTGCATTCAATATGAAAACACACACTTTCCTTTTTCAAGGCAACCATACTAAAATAGCTACGGCTGGCTGTTTCAGGAACCAACTCCTCTGTTAAGCCTGGGTAATAGAAAACCCTCATTTCTGCCGCACCCTGCCCCACACCCCACCCATCCATTCTGTCCTCTCCATTTCTCAAACACACTGCCTTAACATGAGGTGTGCATTACAAATAAAAGTTGACTTAGGTTTATAGGACTGGACCCTGGGCATTGCCAGAAAGAATGAATCTCTTTAAAAATGTCAGGGACACTCCCCCCTCCTTTATTTTGAATTTTAAAAATGCAGTGGAGGGAATCATTTATTGGGTATAAAACCTTGTAAAAAGGGAAATAAGGGGCTTGAAGTGGAGGTAACCTGTAGGATCATAGTCTGTTTTTCTTCCTATGAGTTAGATAAAGTGTATGTATGGGGTTTTCAAAGTATGGTCTTACATAAGAAGGTTGTACAGAGTGTGTGTTTGTGTGTGTGTGTGCATGAGCAAGGTGTGTTTACAGGGATTCAGAGATGTGAAAAACTACCTAGGGACCAAGGCTATCATTTTCTTTCTGTCTGAGCAGAGAGGGTGAGTAGTTTAGAATGGGCATAAGCATTTGTGTTCTCTCTATGGGGCCTTGTGGTGACCTTTACCATGGGACTTAACTTTTGGGGTGCTGCCTCCCCCAGCAGTCATGCAGTTTCACCAAGACCATACGAGAATCTCCTCTCCCATCAACTAAGTTAATTTCCAAGTAGTGGTCAAGCACGAGAAGGATGACCCTTACCTGTCACTGTAGGCAGCGGCCGTGGCAGGGGTAGGCTGGGCGTAGCGGTATGCAGCATAACCGCCCTAAAACACAAAGAGAAATGTGACTCAGGAATGCTGCGGAGCCCAACACGGGGATGCCCAGTGGCAAGACCACACCAGAACAGCAGTTACCCAAATCTACTGACCTAAAGTTCAGGTTAATGAAAGCTTAGTATCAAAGCGAAAGTACAAAAACGCCCTGGAGAAACAAGGGGTGGAATAATACCAGCCCCAGCTGGATGTTAAAGGTTAGCGGTTATAAGCATATCCCGAAAGGAGAGCCTAGGGGCCCTTGGAAGGAAATGTATTTAAATGTTAACGGTGATTGTCTTGGGGTGGGGAGGATTATGGGGGATTATTTAAACTCTTCATACTTGGCTGAACTTTCCAGATTTTCAACAATGATTCTGCTTTACCTTGATCAGATATCAACTTGAATTTTACTCAGATCCTATTTCCTTATAAAATAATCAAGTGAACGCTCGCCTGTCTTTCATAGTTATCAAATCACATCACCCGTCGATTGACAGTTTATTAGCAATCTCTTATCTGGTCGTTGAACCACTAATGTTATTGAAGAGTCTTTAGCTATCTAAATGTTACACAACTATTACAAAAATGACAGAACATTTCTTCTTTTTAGCTACAGATCTCACATGGCTATGTATCATGCTGCTTCAGATGCAGAATTTGGTGTGGAAAATATGATAAAGTCTTCTAATTTGTAAATAAAATCATTAACAGAGAAAAAATCTGAAAAGAAAAATAACATTTAGTTGTATGTACCAGTAATTGCAATTGTTCAATTAAGCAAAGAGGATGAGCAAATAGGCATATTCAAAAGGAATTGTGTTCAGTGGAGCATTGATTATCAAACTGTGAAAATAACAGAGCTTCTGCTCAGTGGATGACAATGATACATCAGACACTGTACAATGATCTCGGCACAATTAACAAACAGGATCCAGTGTCCACTGATAACACAGGACCATGCAGGTTCTAATTAGAATACACAGTGACGTAATTCTCTGAGGTACGGGTTCTCACCATCGCCATAAAGGGGTGACTCGGGATAAAGTAGTGTGTCGGAGGTATGCAACAGCAGAATCATGAGAGGGAAAAGTAGGCTTGTTGCCTTTGGCCTCCTGAAACTAAGTAGTACAATAAGAAATAGATGAAGCAGGGAAGCCACAAAAAGCCGCTTACAAGATATACATAATCTGGTCTCCATTTCTTTCTGCCTCCTTCTAGCCATAGTTAACTCTCAGGGTAAATATGTTATCACTTGCATAGCAATTCAAAGAAATGAGTTTATCTCTCACAATTTATTCTTTGGGTCAGTCCTGGAGAAGACGCATCCAAAACTGACAGGTGATCACCAATCATGTAGAGCCAGGTTTTTCTTTTTAAAGCTTCCCTTCAAAAGATAATGGAAGGTAACCACAAAAAAAAATATTAGCCAGATGCCACCTGGTGTTCCGAATACTGTGTTCTCCAAGTAGGCATGGGGAGCACATTAAATGCGCTAAGGGAGTTACAAAACCGAAGCAGTTGTTATAACATCACTGAGTCCAACAAATAGAATGATAGACTGAAGAGAAATCGGGTCACCAGGTTTCTGTAGCCATTTTTCTATACGATTTGTTCAGCGTCTTGACTTTCATGATGTGTACAGAAAGATACAGGTGTGCCGGTGCACATAATAATGAGGCAGGGAGGGGCTGGAATTGGTTAGCTGATTTCTAGGAGACGTGAGCTGCAACAGACTTAAAGCTTGAGTGGAGAGAGTGTGTGTGCGGTACGTGTGTTTCTCTTACGAGGCACGCCTAGGTCATCAATGCCCTGACATCTGACTTTATTATCTAAGAATTTGCTTGTGAGTATTCCTGATTCAGGGTCAGGATCACAAGGTGAAGTCTCCAGAGCCAGTGGAGAACTTTTTGACCTTGATCAATGGTCTCACTGTCCAGTAGAGCACTCGGAGATGAGACGAATGTTATGTATCTCTGCTGTCCAACATCGTAGTTACTTCTAGTCAATGACTATTGAACTCCTGAAAGGTAACTAATGCAATGAGTTAAATTTTAAATTTACTTTTCAGTTAATTTGAATTTAAATCTAAAAAGCCACATGGGGGCTTGTGGCTAAAGGACTGGACAGTACCAGTCTAAATGATCCCTGAAATATGTAATAATCAGGGGAAATGGGATTAGGTGGTTTTATCTCTCCATCTCTATTGCGTAGTCTTTTTTCCGTATTTTTCTTCTCTATGCATTCCATACTGGAGAAGTAACAGAGTTGTGTATTAACTCAGTATGTGTGCGTACACTGTAAAATATAAATTGCTATAATTTGCCTTTCTAAGAGGTGACTCGAATCAATCTTACTGCTCTGGATTTGGCAGCTCATTGAGCATAGCCAGAACTACTCCGAGGTTCCATGTCTGTAAAAGGAACACTCGCTTTCAGTTGCTGTCACCAGATCATGTTCATGGTGAACCTGGTCCTCCGAGATCATGACAAAAATGTGTCGTTGACAATTAGAATCTTCACACCACCAAACCAAAGGAACAAGGCGTGACAGGCACAAAATAGTTCTATACTCCTCATTCATGAAACATAATTTTTCCACATCACGGGCAGCAAAATATAAACGTGGCCTTATCTAAGAATTTCAAATGGCCATTATGGATCTTTTTGCTGCCACCACCACCAAATGAGGCCGCCAAAGTGATCCACTCATGTGGACTGAGAAGTGTCCTTGGTTGGCAAACCCTCTAGAGGTCTCTTGAGGTAGTCACCCTGAGGTGGTCACCCTGAGGTAACCACCCCGAGGTCATCACACCGAGGTCGCCACTTCGAGGTGATCACCCTGAGGTGGTCACCCCGAGGTCATCACACCAAAGTGGTCACCCCGAGGTGGTCACCCTGAGGTGGTCACCCATTCAGGACCTCAAATGATGGTCTTTGCCTTTTCTTTTTTTTATTACTACTAGAGATGGGAGTCTCACTATGTGGCCTAGGCTGGTCTCAAAGACCTGAGATCAAGTGATCTTCCCAATTCAGCCTCCCAAAGTGCTGGGATTACAGGCGAAAGCCACTGTGCCCAGCTAATAAAACATTTTCAAAATCGTGTTTGTGGGGCATTCACAGCAAGGAAAGGAACGTTTCTACAACCAAACCAGTTTGGTTGGATGCTCAGTTAAAGTAAAACTGTTCGTGGAACTCCCTGGGACAATATTCATGAACACTGTGGATCTCCAAGGCATCTCGGAGAATTTGAGACTTAAAGTTTTCACTTTAGAGCATACTTTTGAAAACAGATGTTTTAGTGGCCACAGAGGAACGAGGGGAGGGGAAACCTCTTTGTACTAGTGGGGATGTGGGCATCTGTAGGACTGTAACATGTATGTGCTTTGTGTGCTTCCTTCAGCTTGAGTGCATAGGAAAGTAGTAATCAGCTTAACCAGGGGTAGAGGCTCCCTGCTTATATTATTATAAAAAAAACATAAAAATATCCCGGGTCAAGTCTTGCTTTGTGCAAAACAGGTATGTTGGTATACATACAACTTATATCTTACTCATTATAATACTTAAAGAACATTTGTAAAATGAAAACCTTAATGACTCCCTAATTTATCTGTATTATATAGTCTTTTTTTTTTTTTTTTTGAGACCATCTTCCTCTGTCATCCAGACTGGAGTGCAGTGGTGCATTTTCAGCTCACTGCAACCTGTGCCTCCCGGGTTCAGGCAATTCTCCTGCCTCAGCCTCCCACATAGCTGGGACTACAGGCGTGTGCCACCACACCGGGCTAACTTTTGTATTTTTAAGAGATGGGGTTTCGCCATGTAGGCCAGGCTGGTCTTTGAACCCCTGGTCTCAAGCAATCTGCCTGCCTTGGTCTCCCAAAGTACTGGGATTACAAGTGTGTGCCACCATGCCCAGCCACGTTCATCTAGTTTTGAAGGGTGACAGTCAGAGGTCCAGTTCTCTTGAAATGTGACAATGAAAGTTGATCTCAGGAATTTTAACTATATTGCCCTTTACTAGGTTAAAGTACCTATTTCTCACATTCAGGTTTCAGTTACAACTCAGTAAATTCTCATGGTTTTAAAGTACTTTCTTTCTCTTTTTTTTTCCCCCGAGATGGAGTTTCGCTCTTGTTACCCAGGCTGGAGTGCAATGGCGCGATCTCTGCTCACCGCAACCTCCGCCTCCTGGGTTCAGGCAATTCTCCTGCCTCAGCCTCCCGAGTAGCTGGGATTACAGGCACGCGTCACCGTGCCCAGCTAAGTTTTTGTAATTTTAGTAGAGGCGGGGTTTCACCATGTTGACCAGGATGGTCTCAATCTCTTGACCTCGTGATCCACCCGCCTCGGCCTCCAAAAGTGCTAGGATTACAGGCGTGAGCCACCGCACCCGGCCTTAAAGTACTTTCTTAATTCACTCTTAATACTGAAGAAAAAAAGGAGTTGCAGTGGTAGGGAAAGTACTGTCCTAAAACTCCCACTGATCATCCTCAGTTTCACATTTATCTCTGATTTTATTGGACAGTTTCAATGTCCTTAATAGACCAAATTTGGAGACTCTCAACCGGCCACATTCCAAAGAATGTTTTCTTTCTTCCTACAAACATGTTCAGTTGGTGGTTGATTCAGTAGTGAGAAATAGGTTTACAATCTATAGCAATAGGTGTGAAATAAATTTCGGATCAGCTCTAAAAGGACCAGGGAGGGTTATGTGAGACATCAGGTATGCTGGCTGTTCATGCTGGATATATGAGATTTTTGATTTCACCTTTCCAGTTCACTCTGGGAACCTACTAAAACATTACCCAGACAACTGGTTCAACCAGAACCTTGAGTTCTTTTCATTGGATCTGTATTGATTGAGTCCAGATACCTTTTAAACGAAAAACTTAACAGCCAAGCGAGACCACCATTTTGATACTCCGGATCTAACGAAGTTCAGTGCCAAGGCCAACTGCTGTCCGTCATAAAACAGCACCCATATTTGGAAGAAACTGCCACAACACGGTC